GAGGAAGGGCCTGAGGAGAAGGCATCAGCCTGAGGAGAAGGCTTCAGCCTTCAGAAACAAACACACGTGTGCTGATAAATCAGCATCAGCAGTGTCGGCCATCACCAGTTACCGACATTACACTCCAGCTGAGGAGACAGTCAATGACAAGAGTCGACCTGTCAAAGTGGAAAGCCAGTGGAGAGGGCTACTGAAAAGGACCACAAAGGTTTTTCGCAGAATTCCAATTAAGAACAACGTGAAGTCAGTGGAGTTACATGTGGCCAAAGAACCAAATTTCTGATCGTACGAGACAGAGTTTGGACTTGCATGTAAACACCTTAATGGCCATCACAAAACGGGAAAAGAAACCCTAGATAAGTCATTCATTACAGGCATTTTTTATTTATTACAAATATATGGTTTCAGTGTATCAAGCTGTTCCATGTATCTGTACTGAGTGTGAGTAGTTGACCTGCCACTTCCACCCCTCCACCTCTTTCTTGCCCCCCTCTATCTCTGTTTTTCTCGATTCTCACACTCTGCCTAATGTGACTTTAAAAATAAGAATAAATAATGGTTCAAACCCAATTACTTTCCTCCCTGTTTTTTTGCTTTGGAGACGACGCCATGATGGTTTGGTCAATTGAGTTTTAACACATATGCTGATGACCAACAGAAAGGGTTACGAACGGGTGGAAAATGACCTGATGACAATAAAAAGTCAACTTTAAGTGCAAAGTGACATTTTCATCAGTCCAYTTGGTCAGAGCAGGTCAAGTGGAGCTGGACTGGAATAGACTGTAAAGTCATGATCAAGGTTTCCTGCTCATGTTATAGTCTGTTCAGTCTGTGCACACCATGGTCCAGACTATCGGTCCTCGTGTTGCACACCAGGTGCTCTGTGGTCAACCTCCAAATCGACTGCAGCTAGTTGTCATTCAAGGTTTATTTGCCAAACTGAAAGAGAGGCTGCTTCTCTGTTTGACTCACATGTGGAAGTGATGATCAAGAATCTTAAATCTGTGTGTTTGGTTCTCAGAAGGATCCCATGGATAAACAAAATTTAATTCGGATTTATTATAAAACTTGGATAGTTGCTTAGTTAAGGAAATCCTCTACAATGAACATCATGTCAGTTTCATTTCCAATTTCAGACATTTATCTGACAAACATGCAGAAGAACAGGGAACATATAAGACGAGAGGCTTCCACTGAGTTAAAACTGAGTCTATTCCATTATTTGACAGAAGCTGGGCTGATTATATGAATGCAGTGCACAATACAAAAACATAGTGGATGGTGGTGATGCATCTTAAAGCCGGCTACAAGAGGATAAATACACCTATCAGTGTGAATACAAATGATGGTGGATGTACAAAACACATTTGCCAATATTATASTWTTTTATTTGAGAACATGGGACAAGATGGTGAATATCTCTCCTGCACAGGCTGGATCTTAAATCTCCAAAGACCAGAAGATATTCACAACCACCAGTGGATGTTAAGGAGGAATCATCAGTTGTGTACCTTGGTGTCATCGAGTGTTTCAGCCTTTTTATCTCCAGGTCTCTACATAGCTGGATGTGTGAGAATATCTATATATCCACAGAATATTGGTTCACAATCCCATTCTATAAACACTCAATACTAAATGGTCCTTTAGGGACACTTGATAAGAACATTTTACAAATCAGTTTTCATTCTACTCAAC